TCCGTTTTCGGATTGATACATTTCATCTCCGAAAATTACTTTTAACAACTGGAATTTCGAATCTGATCATTGGAATGAAAATTGGAATTTCGATTGAAAATTCAAATCTTAAGGCTGAAAAATTCAAATCTTGGATTATTACGCATGCTGCAATTCCTCTCTCATATGCTGTATCTCAAACCCTAATGATTACAGCGAATAATTGATTTTTACGAAAAGTGTCAATATGATTAGTGAGACTGACTTTGTTTATTCGTTTAATCTGAAGTGATCATAATCGCGAATAATTATCTTAAATTCGAAAATAAATTGTTGGATGCATTGGCTCTGAGAGTCAACGACATCTTTATGGATATCTGAGAACGCATTGAAATGCCGGTGCAGAATTGTGTTGGAATGTGCGTATGCTGAAAGAATTTTGGTAGTGAAATGATGAGAAAAGATAAAAAATACGAATGAAACGATTCAATGATTCAGAGTGATAAACGAGTGCGCTGAGGGTAAACACGATTGCTCAGCGTCTGCGTCTTGTATTGATACAGCCGAAGCGTTCACTTGCCGATGTCGTGATGGCTATCGTGATGAAAGTCCCGATCCAAAATCGCATCCTGGCCGAGTTTGTGTCAGAGGTCAGTATTTTGACTCTTTGAACCATCCAAACGCAATCTACAGCTCATAGATTATCAACTAAAAAAGCGGTTGATTCATCAGTTCATTTAAAATTCAACCTCTGATCTGGATCAAAGGAACAGTAGAGGTTATTTGTGAGTATGGCATTCTGAATGATCTTTGTGGGTTAGTCGAAGTGATTTCAGCAGTAATACCTGAACCACCGGAATGTGATGTGAATGATCCGATGAGCTGTGATATTCACAAGAAAGAAGTATGTCTGTTCTTGAATGGAACCTACAAATGTGAATGTGCGGCTGGCTATAATCGATTACCGGATGGCAGATGTTTGGTGATTAATGAGTGTCAAGATAAACGTTTGAATGACTGCTCGGAGAATGCTGACTGCATTGATCAGGTGATCAAATAAGTTTCATTACCTTAACTTTGCAGCAGCATATTCATACACAAATCATTGCCTAGACAAAACCTTGAAAAATATCGATAGCAAGAGGTCTAAGAGAGTTTCAACATTCAGCAAAAAAAACAAAGAACAACAACCTTGTGTAGTCATCCGACAAATTACCTTTCAAACATCTAAATTGCAGTAATTAAATGTCAGTAATAAGAAAAGTGGTGAATAAATCATGTGGTTATGGTGAAGAAATAGTTGTTTCTTTTGCCTGATGATAAGGATTGGATATTACAGGCAGAAGGATATTTGTGTAGATGTCGAAGTGGATTCGCAGATTTGTCACCAGCCGGAACGAGAGGGCGAGTGTGCCGTGAACGCGTTAATGAGTGTTCGAATGCAAAGAAATACAACGTTGATTGTGATAGCAATGCGATTTGCGTTGACACCGAAGAGAGTTACACATGCAGGTTGGTATCGTATCGTTGATATCCTTCCTATTCATCATTTTATTCACTCCGGAGTACTCTGTCTAAGGCATTTTATTTTCAATGAAAAGAAACTTTTCTCGCAAAATTGCAAAATCAGTTTATCGAATTCACATCACATAGAAAGGTGCATTGGTGATGAGCAACTGAATAGTATGCTTATTGCATTCTGGGAATTTCCAGGTGTCGTCCGGGCTTTGCGGATATTTCAAGTTCTTTCAATCGTCTACCAGGACGACGATGCGTTGAAGCGGTGAATGAATGTCTTGATGCTACCCTGAACGATTGCTCTGAGAATGCGATCTGTGAAGATGCTAAAGAAGGGTTCGATTCCATTCCTCTCATTTGTAAACTTCTCATTATCGTTATTCAAAACAGTTTTCATTCTCTATTACAATCACTTCAGTTCATGTTTCTTCTCATCAAAAATCCGGTAGTTTTCAGCAGAGCTATTTCAAAATCTAAGATTGTTAGATAAAGCGAATACTTTCAGTTATATATGTACATGCCGTAAGGGATTTCTGGATGCGTCACCAAACATAACACATTATCCTGGACGTATATGCCGTAAACCGAAAGAACACAAAGAAGCTCAGCTCGATCAGTTATCGCAAACTCAAGTGGATTCTTGTGATCCAAAACGCCCGCGTTGTGCCACCAATGAGATTTGTACAGATCGTAAAGCGAGAGGCCAATTCGTTTGTGAATGTGCACCGAATGCATTCAGATTCACCGATGGAACTTGTCGATGTGAATCTTTTATTCATTTACTCATTCATTCAATTAATCCAGAGCCATATTCCGATTTAACTCTCACCCAATAGAATCCATTTTATGTTGAGTGTTACTTGCTATTGATTTGGTTGGATTTGCAATCGCATCTTCTCAAACTTATCAATTCAGAGGAAGAATCAATCGAAGTGTTGTTTAATTTTTCAGTGTATTCGGCATGTACCGGGACGAATGATTGTGATAAAAATGCAGTATGTTCGAACGCATTCGATAGCTATAAATGCCAGTGTCGACCAGGATTCATCGATGTTTCACCAGATCCCGAGAATAAGCCTGGAAGGAAATGCAAAGAATGTAAGGAATTCAAGACCTGATTGAATATCTTCTTTCAAATTGTTCCAAAACCCTACCAAATGATCTANTGTGGCATTTTGCAATGAACTTCAAGGTGGAAATTGCAAAATTTCAGTGATTAACGAATGTGCGACAGGAGCAAGTGATTGTTCACCGAATGCGAAATGCATCGACTCGACGAACGGTTACATTTGTGTTTGTAATGAAGGCTTTATCGATACTTCATCTCAAGCCCAACTCGCACCTGGACGGCGGTGCAGTAACGGTTTGTTACTCTTTATTTTGGCATAAATATGATCACAAAGTTGCATTATCAACCTGTCTTCAATGACATTTATTGCATCCTATGGAAAAGCTTTGATGAAGTTTTCTAGTCCAAAATTGTTCTTTCGATTGCATAATTACATGCTCGTCGACTCCTATAATTATGCATTAATTGCTATAAAACATTGAACTCAAATTAATCCCACTGAGTTTCAGCAAGTAATGAATGTGCCGATCGTTCACTGAATACATGCGATGAGAATGCGGATTGTTTGGATACACCCGATTCATACACTTGCCAGTGTTATGCTGGTTTCGTTGACGTCTCATCAAGTGCCAATCTTCAACCGGGTCGTGTTTGTACGGTACAAACCACTTGTCCGAAGCAAAAAACCGATTTGATGTTTTTGATCGATGGTTCGGGTTCAATCGGATCGTATGTTTTCAAACATGAGGTCAGTTTTTCTAAACGATTCACCTCTCACCATTTGAAGGTGTGTGGGTGTAATGATAGTAATTTGAAACTTCTACTTCATTACCATTCAGTCACTCAGCATTGAATGAAGTGGACGATTTGGTCCATGTTGCAAAAGAATGTCAATCATTAGTTCTGCGTGAAAACATGACTGAAAACTTAACGTATTCATCAGTTAGCTGTCAATTCCACTAGTCTCAGGAGATCTTTGAATTTCGAACCGAGTACTTTCACTGTAATGCATTCAGATATTGCGTTAGAAAGATTCTCAAAATGAACTCTTTTCAAGGTNTTCGTTGAATTGTTCGATATCGGTCTCGACCATACACGAGTTGGATTGATTCAATACTCAGATCAAATAAGACATGAATTTGATTTGAATCAATACAGCGATAAAGCTTCAGTTGTACAGGCTATCTCTGAAGTGCACTATCTCACTGGATTGACCAGGTAAAGACAACTTGTTTAAAAACAATCCTGGCTGAAATCAACACAGCCGTTGAATATTATTTGGCTCATCGATGCTGAATGCTCTATTGTATCATAAATATAAACTAACACAAGTTCCTTTCACGCAAATATTTCTCGATTCATTCTGGATTTCCTACACGATGTTCTTTTGCTTCGAATCAAAGCTCAGAGAGGGTTTCTCATTTTGAGTAGTAATTCTTTTTATCTCAGGACAGACAAGATTTTATCGGGTCGAAATGATGCAATGCATAATTTGATTTACCGGAATCAATTTAACGAAAAATTTGGTGTACACATGATGGATCGTATAGAGATCAAGAAATTGATTTGAAGGACGGGTGCAGCGATTCAACATATGGTAATGGAAGGGTTTTCGGAGAGACGTGGCGCACGTGCCGAAAGCGATGCGGTTGCACGGGTGGCGATCGTGATCACTGATGGACGCAGTCAGGACAACGTCACCGAACCAGCCATGTCGGCACGTCGACTGCATGTGAACATGTTCGCGATTGGCGTTACTGATCATGTGTTAGCGTCTGAACTGGAATCGATTGCTGGATCACCAAGACGATGGTTTTATGTGGATCGTTTCAAGGATTTGGATACACGATTGAGATCCTTGATTCAGAAGGCTGCATGCCCATCACCTGAACCTAAAGCAAGACCAACATCCGGTTGTAGTGCATCCGGACAGACTGGATGTGATCGCTCGGAAAATGAAGTCTGCGTCCAAGTATGTTGCCATCGAAACCATAGCAGATCGTTTTGTTATTATTATTATTTGCTGTATCGCTTACCATTAGAACTGTAATTTTTTCAGTTCAATGGATCGTTAATCCTTTTTCATTAAACGTTCATCAATTGCTAAAGGCTGAAAATGGCTGTAAGATCCCAGTGAATTCATAATCAGATGTTTTTGAATGATGAGTGAATTGTTTCCAGGAGAATGGTGTCAGTCGTTGTCAATGTCCTGAGGGATTCGAGCGTCATCCAGAGACAAGGGTGTGTGGTGGAGAGTTGTGCAATCCACAAATCACCACATCATGTCCGAATCCTGAGATATGTTCGCTCACACCGCTATCAAACTATCGTTGCAAATGTCCAGATGGCTATTCGAGAGATCGTCGTACCGGAGTTTGCGGTGAGCACTTGCCACTAGCATACATGACTGACTCATTGAACATAATATGCGCAATAGTTCAACGATAAAAAATGCTGGTGCCCAGTTAACGTTTACTCAAACTGCAATTGATTTGTCAAACTCCAACATTGCTATCGGAATGAACGAGAGTTGTGAATAAATATTTCAATAATTTTAGTGCTTACAGTAAGGAAAACCGAGCAGAATGAACCGAGAGTGTTACCGTCACACGATAGCGATTGCAATAATGGTGGTGTGACATGCGCTCGAAATGAGCACTGCACTCGTGACAAGGGTGGTAAATATCGAGTGAGTTTGACATATTTATGAGTAATTTATGCTGAACGCAACGAGAATACGACATATGCATATTATCCAATTTCAGTGCGAATGTTCGGTTGGGTACGAACGTAATTCAAGAACAGGTGAATGCACCATACCGGGATCGTGTGACCCGACGTTACCGAATCCGTGTGACGGGCGAAAACGTGAAAAATGTCTTCTTCATTCATCTGGTCAATACCATTCGTGCCAATGTTCACAAGGAGAGAAACGGCATTCCGTAACCGGAATTTGTTGTAAGTATTATAATTTGATTGATTTAACCAAATGAATGTGATTATAACCTGTAGTTGATCATTTTTTTCATTAGTGCAGCCGTACGCAGTCCTAAAATTTGACGTTTTCTTATGAAATCAGTCAAAATGAAATGATTATTGACACATACATTGTATCGTTTTATACTCGACAACAACTTTGAAATCTTCGCTGATCAGTTGTGAAGTTTTTAACAAAGCGATAATCAAGGATCTAATCAGCAGCTTGCCTTTTTATATCTTCTATGAGACATTTTCAATTTTCTTTAAAGTATTTCACATTCCTTTCAAAAGTTTCCTTCTGATATTGTTGAATGCTTGCACTCAGCTTACGTAACAGTAAATTAATTGAAGTGCGTGATGAATGCTTGTTGGGCGCGCACGATTGTGATCAATCTGCACAGTGTATCGATACGGACGATGGCTATTTGTGTATCTGCAAGAAGGGATTCATTGATCAGAGTGCTGATCCAATCAATAAACCTGGTCGGTTGTGTATTGCTGAAAAAAACGAATGCCTTGATGGTACTCACAAATGCTCACCGGATGCAATTTGCACAGATACAACCGACGGATATATTTGTCGTTGCAAGCCTGGTTTCATCGACTTCTCACCTAATCCACATCAGTACGCATTGAATATCTTTTCACACTTGAATTTTAGAATTTATAACTATTGCTCAATCGTTTTCCATTCGCGATCCTCATCTTAATATTCAATCGGTTGCGTTGATTGATTGTGCTAAATGACAGTCAGTGATGGTTATCGATGTTCTTGCAATTATTTCAATATGTTCATCGATTCAGATTCGGTGGCGTTGTTTGCAAGAAGGTAGTGAACGAATGTGCGGATCCTTCATTGAATACCTGTCATAAGAATGCGATATGCATCGATACAGCCGATTCATATAAATGTATCTGCAAAAATGGATTCAATGATTTGGACGAACTGCGTAATCCAGGACGAAATTGTGTGAAAGGTTGTTCATTTGTAAAGAAGATTATTCATATCGTTATTTAAACGCGTTCATTTGTTTATTTCATACCATTACAACAAATCTTTGGGTGCGGTCAGCCATAGGGAACGCTTGCAAGCACATGAACGAAATATGGGCAAAAATTTTCCTTGGCTCATGCTCGCAAGCACAGGCAGAGAGCGATTGAGTGGGTGAAAAATTTGGTGTGCATGAGGTTGTTGAAACGCGTTGAAGAGAAGAATATTTTGCCAGTTTCGGCTCGAAATCATCATCTCAATGCCAAACAAGAATCCGTAATAATAATTGGTGTATGAATTGCAGAAGAACATAACGATCGTTGTTCAGCGAATAAGAATGATTGTGATCGGAATGCGAGGTGCATTCCTCGAGGTAATAAGGATTACGTTTGTGCGTGTCAACCTGGTTTCCGTGATAAGAGTCCTGATGCATCGAAGCCGGGACGTGTTTGCATTCCACGTACGATTTTAATTTCATTTTTGTGAACATTTATCAACATTTCTCTCTTATTAACCTCATTACAAGTGTCCATCACCATCGCTCTTTAAATCTACCTCTAAATTCTTCTGGTTACGCGAGTGGTACGTGTCATGCTGGCAGAAGAAGATTATTGCTCTGAAAATTCGTATGCTCCATTTGGGTAGGCAATCAAAGTAGGATCCAAGGCGATTTTTTCGTTGTAATCATTAGCGAATTATGACGCTGAGATAATGTTGCGGGCGGAATAATGCCTCTCTGAAAACATGAATGTATTTAGTGATTCCGGAATGTGACAATCCAACGTTGAACGATTGTGATTCACCGGATCGTGCGATTTGCACAGATACTGATGAAGGATATTTGTGCAGATGTAGACAAGGTTTCTTGGATATCTCACCGAGTATCACCACTAAACCTGGCCGACTGTGCAAACCATGTGAGTTGTTTATTCATTACATTACGAGAAAGTAATCATACACTTTTAAGTAATCAACTGCATTACTACACATTCATGCAATTCGCGATTTCTCAAAAAATTTAGTTCAGGATGCCACCACACTGATAAATTCGAGTATAGCGGCAGAAATGCATTTCTTCTGACTATGATTGCTTCTTGTTTACCTTCCCGTCCATTTAACATTCTCTTAGAGAGATAAGAAAGTAGATCGATACGAATCTTTACGATAGCGTGCGTTTCCAATATAATGAATTACAGTAGAGCTTCATTGTTGTTTTTTTAAAGCAAATGATTTACGTTGGTTAGATAAATTGTAATCAACATATCCAAATAATGGCATAATCTTACAGTGGAGAACGAATGTGAGAAGGGAACAGATGACTGCGCTCGGGATGGCGGTATTTGTGAGGATACACCTGATTCGTTTACGTGCAGATGCGCGATCAACTATTTGGATGTCTCATTCGATCGACAGAACAGACCTGGACGCAAATGCAAACGACGTTAGTCTTCCTTTTCACTGTCCATTACTCGAATGCGATCCCGTCTTTTGACGTCTCGCAATCTCATCTTCAGTTTTGTCTTAACTGATTTGAAGATGAACGTTGATTTTGCTCCGCAATAATTAATTTCAGTTGTCGACGAGTGTCGAACCGGTCAGAACGATTGTTCATCTGAGGCAACATGCACGGATACAGAGGATTCGTATGTTTGCGCTTGTCCTGCCAAGTATATTGATGTTTCACCGGATACGGTCAATAAGCCAGGCAGAAGATGTCTTTTGAGTGAGTATTTCTGCGTTCTTTGAAAGATTATTAACAAACCAAATTTTAGCCTGGCTCAGGCTCGGTAACAAGAGAGTATTGTTCATTTGATTTATAAGTTCGCCTTATATGAATAACGGCTATCTCATTGTATTATTATAGTTAAGCTTTGCATTGATATATGAATATCACACATGGTGCAGTATGGAGAGTGCGAAATGTTTTCTGATTTAGGACCAAAATTGTGAGCAAACATAAAGTAATTTGATGAGCTTAATACTGAAATCGATTCAGGGATCAACGAATGTAAAGAGAATCGTCACGATTGCTCTCCGAATGCTGATTGTATCGATACAGCTGAGTCATTCCTTTGTAAGTGTCGCGATGATTTCGTCGACGAGTCACCCGATCCTCGAAATCGTCCGGGTCGTATTTGTCGTCCCGCATTGGTGGATGAGTGTCGTCTGGGTAAACACGACTGTCATTCGAATGCGATATGTCAGGATTTAGCACAAGGTTATACGTGTCATTGCAAATCGGAGTTCATTGACCAAAGTCCCAACCGAGCATCATTACCCGGACGCCTTTGTGTACCCAGACCTACACCTCCACCGGATGAATGCCGTGTCGATAGTCTTAACTCTTGCAAACAACAGCTCAATGAAGTTTGTTTTTGCTTGTATTGAATGGATTTTGTTTCTTTTTGAGTCTGATGTAATAATTATAGGAACTTTTTGATATTCATTTCATGTTTCTTTCGGTTGTGATCGAGCCATTTCAATTTACTTTATTCATCTTTTAACTATCGCATATTTAAGGTTTGTCGTCTAATCAATGGTGTACCGAAATGCGCATGTCCAATCAACTACAGTCGTGATCCCAAAACAAAAGCATGTTCAGTGATCAATGAATGTGAATATCCACAATTGAACGATTGTCATCCGAGTGCAGATTGTATTGATCAGCCAGATTCATATACTTGCAAGTGTCGTCAAGGTTTCAAAGATGTTTCAGTGTCCGATAAACCAGGACGATTCTGTCAACCTTGTCAGTTTTTGATGATTCATTTCACATGCTTTTGTCAAGTCGCTTTATTTGATTGTTCAAAAACTAAGTACGAATATTCGAATCTGCAGATTAAACTGGTTTGGCTGATTAGTTCAGTTGGAGAACATTCACCAGATGTGTATAAATCATGTCCTATTGAAAATGGATTTTCAGTAGTAAACGAGTGTCAGTTCCCTCATTTGAACGATTGTCATCAGAATGCCGAATGTACCGATCTTGATGATGGATATGAATGTAAATGCCATCAAGGGTTCATGGACCTGAAACCAGAACGACCAGGCAGATTGTGTAAACAGATGATCAACGAATGCGCTAAACCTGAACTCAACAGGTATCTTCCTTCGTTTCGTATTGATATGCAATGTGGTTTTATTTGCATGATTCAATAAATGTTGTAAAGTAATAAGGTATCACTCAACGAAAATTCAATTCATTCAAATACTGATAGCGCGAAAAAGCTAAAGTTAACAATTAATGCGAAAATCCTGTTCATTTAGCTGCGATAAGAATGCCAAGTGTATTGATGAAGAAGACGGTTATCGTTGCGAGTGCAAACCAAACTTCCTCGATGTTTCACCATCGCCAACATTCCGTGGCCGTGCTTGTCGACCTATCATTAACGAGTTAGTCATTTCTCATTTTTGTGGTGTTTAATTGAATCTCTTTTGTTATTCTTATATTTATAACTTCATTCGCATTAACTCGGCTTTTTTTTAATTGACAAACAAACGACTCTTCAAAGAGTTCTTGCAAATCACCGCATTGTTTTTCAGATGTGATGATCCAAAATTGAATGATTGCGATAAAATGGCTAAATGTACGGATACAACAGATTCGTATCTGTGCGAGTGTCCTGCGAATTCAAAAGATATCTCACCGAATCCCGCATTCCCAGGACGTGTTTGCCTTGTTTGTATGTTTTTATTTCTTCAATTATAGCATTCTCATATTTGATTCATTATATTCCACCTATCGTACATGCATTTTTTCGTTTATATAATGAGTACATTGGTTGTAATCAGCACTTAGAAGAAATATTGAAAAATTCCAGTTGAAAACGAGTGTTTGAATGGTAAGCACGATTGCGATCCGAATGCAATCTGTCGCGATAATGAGCAATCGTTCACTTGTGAGTGTGCGAAAGGATACACTGATCGCTCACCGAACAAATACAATCGGCCTGGACGAGTTTGCGTTCAGGTTTGTCATTCATACATTCTCGTATCGCTTTTTTTGCAGTTCCAAATACATCGAGATGCGTCAAGCAAATGTGAAGCACTGATTTTCTCCTTACCGTTAGCATCATGTGTTTCAAACCCACTAATTTCGATTGAATTATGCAGTTAGTGGACGAATGCGCAACCAATCGTCATACGTGCAGTGCCCAAGCTGAGTGTCGCGATCTGGAAGAAGGTTATACATGTGAATGTAAAGACGGTTACGTTGATCGATCACCAAATCTACTCACGCAACCTGGTCGTGTCTGTGGATTGCCTGGTCAGTTCAGTCATACATACAATGAAGCACTGTATATTTCCATTTACTTGCTTTTATTTAAGAATGTATTCTGCAATACATTACCACGATGAATTGGTATTCTGCTGTCGTCATAGAACAGTATTATTCTAATTTCACAATTTCCCGTTGATATATTCTCCTATTGGTTTCAGAAGTGTGTCCACCGAATCACGATTGCAGTTCAGCAGCAGTTTGTGAGCCACTTGGTGGTAATAATTATGAGTGCACGTGTATTCAAGGTTACGTTGATCAGTCCCCAGAAGGGAAGAAAGGTCGAATCTGTGTTCGCAGTAAGTCGCTCTAGATTTATATCATCACATTTATATGCACAATTACCTTCGTTATATAATCCAGCAATACATTACTAA